GAGTTGACTTGTGGCCGAGTTGACTGCAGCCGAACTTTTTGTGGCCGAGTTGATTTGTGGCCGAGTTGACTTGTGGCCGAGTTGACTGTGGCCGAGTTGACTTGTGGCCGAGTTGACCTGCACCCTTTAGGGCTAATAATTTTTTCTGGCTGGCTTGACCCTTGATCTTGCTGTCTTAATGCACTATGGCATGTTGGAAGAATAGTGATTTTTTTATACAGTCTCCCATTTGTTTTCAGATATGTAGTCTTGACCAGTAAGCATCATGAAGGCTTCACAAATTGGCCATCAAAATATTCATGGAATTGGAACGCTATGGACATTGGACCTCACAGGGACTTAGTTGGTAAGAAAACCAAGAAAATCCACGGACTGAACTTGGGGTGGGGGAAGGGATTGCCCAGATTTTTCAGAAGTGACTTCTTCAAACTGGAGACCCCTTGCTACAACTACAGTACAAGGGATCTGCATAGACAGCAGAGCGTCCCAGGCTAAAATCCTGTTTGTGGAAAAACAATATTTTTTCACTCCACGGATTTCCTCTCTTCTTTAACATTCAAAATGTGTTTATAGCATTACCGCAAGACATGTTGAACTTGATCTATTTATAAGTATGGTATCCCTTCGGAGATTCAATCTTGTTGTTAAATGCTTAAGATGAGTGTGTTTCATATTATGATTGATCAGGGGCGGATTTAGGGATGAGGTTGTTAAACATACAAGATCACCTTTTGGGAGTTAAAAAAAAAAGAAAAAAATGATAGCCCAGAACGCCTCAAATGTTATTTTCGGGCATCTAGAACACAAAAATTTCACAGGGGCATGCCGGCCTGAACCCTCTAGGACATTGTTGTCTCGATCAGCCCAACTTTGGCCCCCTTTCGGCCCCCCCTCCTTTTGGACATCCCTGGATCCGCCCCTGTTGATATTGGTTATTTGCAGTGCATCGAGAACCATTGTTCAATGCAGGGGAGTTAAAAATCAGTTGCTATTTGGATTTTAATTCACATCAATGCCCCAGTGGCCCAGTTGGTGAAGGTATCTGCGTAGACAGCAGATGGTTCCGATTTTGAATCCATACTGGTTGGGGCAACTTTATTCAAACTCACAGGTTCCTCTTATTCTTTGAATTGCTAAAAGAAGTGCAATCTGCACTGCTTTTTTGCATTTACATTAGTGGTTAAATTAACACTAATGGCTAATATTAAATGTGCCTGGTTGTTATTATTATTATTATTATTTAATATTATTATGTGCATCGGTGAAAAAATAAAATCAAAACAAGAAAAGTATTGAGGTACTGTATATGAATTTGAATGTGTAAAAAAGGCATGAAAATATGTCATAGAATGTTGAAAATGCTGTTCCTCCAGCATCTGTGTGCCCTAAAGTGCCCCTGCCCAGGGGCCTCCAGTCCCTTTTGCCACTATATAAAATACTTTTGTTTCAAATCTAATTTTGCCTTTTTTACTTTCAGGTGAATTAGCCAAATCCATTCGGCAAAATACTAGCATCGTATTTGGATTGTATCATTCTTTGTTTGAATGGTTTAACCCGTTATATATTGGCGATAAGGACAGTGGGTTCAAAACAGATGAATATGTTCAGGTTAGCTTGAAGAATTAAATGTAATGATTTCGATATATGTGACAGGCTTTGTGCAAAACCCTAAATTTGTTGGCATTTATACAGTATTTCGGCATCCCAACCATTTTCAGGTATGTTTCAGATAAAAGAATGGGGAAAGGTTTTGGCAAAGATTGATCAAAAAAGTATATTTATCGTATTATCTTTATTTTGTCAGGAGGTCAAATTGAGATGGAGACATTTTTCTCAAATATTTATTATCATTTAAAATTATTTTTACATACAAATCTCAATATTAAATTACTGATACTGATTTTGGGATCTTGAAAGCTGTTTTCTCAAATCCTGCATTGCTAATATTTAATGAATTAAATATTCATAAATTTGCTAATACTGAACTATTTTCCATCAAAAATACAGTTTTAGAGAGAAATTACACAAATACCAAAATTGTGATATTTTTTTCCCCCATCGAGTGGAGAGTTTTGCCAGAGTTTGGTTGAAGATCACCAGGCTACAGTACATTGAAATTGCAAGAATAAAATTAATAAATGCACTGTGATTTAGGGTGTTTTACATTTAGCAAGAAGCAGTTTGGCGCAGTGGGAATGGTTTGGTTTCCCAACCTCGGGGTCGGGTTTCCCAACCTCAGGGTCGGGAAATCTGTACCAATGGGTACCAGCGAAATGCCGGGATTAACCTGAGGTGGCCCCACCCAGGGGGAGTATTCACTCTCATCCACTTTGCGCTACAGAAACTTGGAATAAAATATAGCCTACTGTATGAGCCCTAGTGGCTCGGCAAGGATTTACTTTACATTTAGTTAAGTAAAAAAGATGTGTTTTTTTTTCCAGAAAGTAACCTTGCCAGAGTTATATGAAATTATTAATAACTACAAACCAGAAGTGGTGTGGTCAGATGGTGATTGGGAGGCCAAATCTACGTACTGGAACAGCACTGGGTTTCTAGCCTGGCTGTACAATGAAAGGTAGTGATCCTTCCAATTAATTTCCAAACACCTGTTGGTTATGAATTTTTTCTACATGAAGTATTGGTTAGATACTTGTGGTTGCTTGAAAACATTCTATTAAAGCAATACACAAGAACTTTATTACCAGTGGCGGCGCCAGCGGGGGCAGGGGGCTTAAGCCCCCACCGGACAGGTCAAGTCCCCCCCCCCCGCCCTACAGAGCTCATCGGGCAGTCAGACCATAAAACATATAAAAATAGGCCCACACCAAGCCAACACATGTCTATCACAGTCTGAGAGTGCCATTTTCGGCCATCCAGAGGTTGATATCCTTCAAAAAAATCCAGCTCGGGCCTACAAGCTCAAGTCCCCCCTGTCGGACAATTTAGCCCCCTCCAGAAAATAAATCCTAGAGCCGCCACTGTTTATTACCCCCCACCCCAACAACCATCCAAGATATAATAATCTAGCATATGACACAGGGGCTCATTGAATGATACCAGATCCAATATTAATACCTGACCACTCCAAATGATAATTAGACTTTAAAAATTGACCAAAAATGCAACGAATATGACTCTAGACTAGAGGACATTAAAAAGTCCCGAACATTTCTACCTCAGTTAAGAATTTTAGATTTATATATTTTGAGCTTTCTTGAAAGAATAGCTCTGGATCCGTTTTGTTTGTTTCCGTACTTGTATTTACATCATTACAAATATTTTACCAAAATGGCTGCATAGGAACATCGGTCGGGATATAGGCCTATTACCCTTTCACCTAACCACGTTCTTTCTTTCACGAAAGCCGAAAACGGCCAGTATGGAGTCATTGTAGTGGTGAATAGGCAGTACACCACAGGAGACAATCCTACATGTGCTTTATTTGAAACCGGACATTTCGTCGGCCGGCTGACCGATGGATTCATTCACCCAGACAGCCCCCCCCCCCCCCCCCCGGGGGG